TCCTTCCTCCTATAAAACACAGTACAGTAACATAAATTTGGATACAACACTATAGGCAACTAGCTGTTTATCCTTCTTGCTGGCTCTGTTCTTAAAATGGCTGGAGGAAACAGGTGATAAAGGAGATGGAAACTAAAGTTCTTACCTTCTTGCACGGAGTGGAGACAGGGCATGGAAGGAAAAAACCAAGCTACGTGGAAAATGCAGGTAATTCCACCCCCAAAAATGGGGAGGAAGAAGATGGTTTCTCTTGTCTCCAATATTCTCCCATATCCATCTCCCTAAATCTGGCCAATAAATATCAGCTAAACAGGGAGGTGATTTCTTAAGCTTCTGATGCTTCTTAAGAAATCAGAAGCTTAAGAAAGATGATTCTGGATTCAAGATTGTCTCTGTTAAAACTGAAGCCTGGGCGAAGAAACACTACTCAGTGGTGCCAAACCAAACAAAAACTTGAATTTACCGAAATTTTGCAGTCTGTTCTCAAATTCTCAGTTTACCCTGCTGCATAGATTCAGCTTGACCATTTAATTAATCCACGTTACAAAATCGAGTATTTTTGATTAACTCATTGAGTTATGGTGGTAAGAGGGTTAGCTTCATCATTTATTAAATGTCTACTGCATGCCAATTCCATACTGGCACATGCTAAGTACTACTGGCATGACACAGATAATTAATTCTTCCATAATTCAAAGAAGGGAATATTTTTGTGGTTTTTCACAGGTGGGTAAGCACCTGAGTTTATTGGCCAGACACAGTGGATCGTGTCTGAAATCCCAGCAGTTTGGGAGGCCCGGGCATGTGGATCACTTGAGCTCAGGTACATGAAATGAGCTTGGAAAACACCATGAGACCCTGTCTCTCTAAAAAAGAAAAAAATTATCCATGTCTAGTGGCACATGCCTGTAGTCCCAGTACTCAAGAGGCTGAGGTGGGAGGATCCGCTTGAGCTCAGGAGATAGAAGCTGCAGTGAGCCATGATCATGCCACTGCACTGAAGACTGGGTGTGAGAGTGAGACTATGTCTCAGGAAAAAAAAAGTGAAAGAAAGAAAGAAAGAGAAGAGAAGAAAATGAAATGAAAAAGAAAAAGAACCTGAGTTTATTCATCCAGAGTCCTAGATGTGAACGAGATCATTGTCCCCACCTGCTGTATAGGGGCTTCCTTTACAAATGTGATATTCTTGCTCATTTTCACACTTACTATATTTTATAATACAATAGTAATAACAAGAAGATAAAGGTAAGTTTAAAATGATAAAGTTTGACTGGCAGAAGAAGAAAAAGGACTGACCCTCTACAGAGATCTAATTGTAATCGTGTAAAAGGGAGACAACTAAGAGGTGACCTTGGAAAAACTAAATACTTTGCATTGTACTTAACTTTTCAATAACTGGATGTAAGTTCCTGGCCAATAGAGTGACATGTTTAAAACAATCTATATATCAGAGGGATTTGTTCACAGTGGTTAACGTATCCTCCGCTTTTAGGAATACACATGCAATGGTAAAAAGTGATGCATGATTTTGGTCATTGGAGTGAGTGCTATTGCTAAACATAATCTCTCAAAATAATCATGTGATAAGCCTGTTTCAAAAAGAGGGATGCATGACTTCAGGGGCCAATCCAAGACCTTCAACAAAAGCATGCCTCAAGAAGAAAGCAATCTGTATTATTTATCCTGTGATCCACAGTCTTTCTCTATCAGGTGATCCAATTTTGCCATGACTTAAAGTTTATTATCTGTGGTGATATGGTTTGACTGTGTCCCCACCGAAATGTCAACTTCAATTGTATTTCCCAGAATTCCCACCTGTTGTGGGAGGGACCCAGGGGGAGGTAATTGAATCATGGAGGCAGGTCTTTCCCATGCTATTCTCAAGATAGTGAATAAATCTCATGAAATCTGATGGGTTTATCAAGAGTTTTTGCTTTTGCTTCTTCCTCACTTTCTCTTGCTGCTACCATGTAAGAAGAGCCTTTTGCCTCCAGCCATGATTCTGAGAACTACCCAGCCATGTGGGACTGTGAGTCCAATTAAACCTCTTACTTTTGTAAATTGCCCAGTCTCAGTTATGTCTTTAACAGCAGTGTGAAAACAAACTAATATAGTAAATTGGTACTGGGAGTGGAGCATTGCTGAAAGGATACCCAAAAATGTGGAAGTCACTTTGGAACTGGGTAACAGACAGAGGTTGGAATAGATTGGAGGGCTCAGAAGAAGGAAATGTGGGAAAGTTTGGAACTTTCTAGAGACTTGTTGAATGACTTTGACTAAAAGCCTGATAGCAATATGAACAATAAGGTCCAGGCTGAGATAGTCTCAGATGGAGATGAGGAACTTGTTGAGAACTGGAGCAAAGGTGACTCTTGTTTCATTTTAGCAAAGAGGTTGGCAGCATTCTGCCCCTGTCCTACAGATTTGTGGAACTTTGAACTTGAGAGAGGTGATTTAGGGTATCTGGTGGAAGAAATTTCTAAACAGTAAAGCATTCAAGAGGTGACTTGGGTGCTGTTAAAGGCATTCAGTTTTATAAGGGAAGTAGAGCATAAAAGTTTGAAAAATTTGCAGCCTGACAATGTGATAGAAAAAGAAAAATCCATTTTCTGAGGAGAAATTCAAGCAAGCTGCAGAAATTTGCGTAAATAACTGAGAAGCTGAATGTTAGTCCCTAAGAAAATGGGGAAAATGTCTCCAGGGCATGCCAGAGGTCTTCATGGCAGACCCTTCCATCACAGTCCCACAGGCAAAGGAGAAAATGATTTCGTGGGACAGACCTAGGGTCCCTGTGCTGTGTGCAGCCTAGGGACTTGATGTCCTGTGTCCTAGCTGCTCCAGTCATGGCTGAAAGGAGCCAAGGTAGAGCTCAGGCCATGGCTTTACAGGGTGCAAGTCCCAAGCCCTGGCAGCTTCCACATGGTGTTGAGTCTATGAATGCATGGAAGTCAAGAGTTGGGACTTGGGAACCGCTGCCCAGATTTCAGAAGATGTATGGAAATGCCTGGATGCCCAGGCAGAAGTTTGCTGCAGGGCTGGGACGCTCATGGAAACCTCTGCTAGGGCAGTGTGGAAGGGAAATGTGAGGTTGGAGCCCCCACACAGAGTCCCTACTGAGGCACCGCCTAGTAGGTCTGTGAGAAGAGGGCAAGCATCCTCCAGACCCCAGAATGGTAGATCCAATAGCTTGCATTGTTCACCTGGAAAAGTCACAGACCCTCAACACCGGCCCATGAAGGCAGCCTGGAGGGAGGCTGTACCCTGCAAAGCTAC